CCAGTTTAGGCCCTAATCCTATGAAGGGGTCAGACTCTAGGTTCATTGAAGTGATCCATTGTGGTGTATTAATGCATGCCTGCCATGTATGTGCATTTTTACACACGCATTGTGTTAAGGCAGCTCATCCATTATGAATGGGCTGCCACTGTTCCACAACGTACGAAAAAAACATGCATGACCCTATTTTTAAAGCTGCGGCGCAGCACAATCTATGGTATGCATCTGTAGTGTATGCAATGCATTCTACTGTACAATGCGTTGGAGTGCCATTTACAATGAATGGCACTGCACTATTCCGCACACAGAACAGATGCATTGGCATGCATTGAGCCAAGGTACATCGATGCAATGCACAAGTGTGAATGGGCCCTCAAAGGGAGTGTCAGCCCAGCTTAACCTTTCTAACTCGGGTTGCACAGTCTCAAACAAGTGATACCGGTGGCGGGGTTTATCCTGCCATTGACTTTTCCACAGCATTTGATCAACACGGATTTTTGACTGGACTGTTTTCTATGGAACAAGGTGTGTCCCGTATATGATATCTCTATATGAAATATGATAATAACATAATCAGAGCGACCAGCTGAAATCATTGCTGAAATGATTGAGTGTATGATTTTCCTTTTCTTTTGCTCTGGCAGGAATCATTGCTGGTGGTAGATCAGATTTATATGTATCGGACGCATTCCATAAAGCATTTCTTGAGGTAAGCTCTGATTGCACTATGGCAGCAAACCTTTGGAGGCTCCCCGCCATATTATGAAATGATTGAATAGAAGTTAAAGTTTATGTAAACCCAATCACTACAATCTCACATTAGCTCCGGCGCTGTCATCCTGTCAACAGCTTCTGATGGAGACTACAAGGGGCAGTGCCGATTCGCATTGCACAGGCATGGTCCGCTGTCACCATAAGGAAACCCGCCCTGAGAAATGCCATTGCTGGAGTACATGTAGACAGGAAGTGGCTGCAGGAAGTTTACAGTCATAACGCGTTTCATATTCCCGTATGGGCTTAGTCATAGAACTCAGACAGAGCTTATATTTACGTTAAAGGCCAACCCCAGCTAATTTTGCTTTTATGTGTATAGAGTCAGGAAGTGTTAGAGTCCCCATTGGGAGAGGGGATATGAACCCTTTTGCTGTTCTGGGTCTGCTTCAGTGTCTTGCTTTAACATGCATTTCATTAAGGTAGCCTGTTCATTTTGAATGAGCTGCCAACACACCAGAGTGGACAGAAAAATTTACCTGCACCCTTTTTCCTGGTGCAAGAACATCTTTTTGTCCACTCCGGTGTGTTGGCAGCTCACGTGGAGGTGCAATGGGTGTTGGCAGCTCATGTGTAGGTGCACTGGAGTGTAGGAAGCTCGTGTGTAGGTGCATTGGGGTGTTGGCAGCTCATGTGGGGGTGCACTGGGGTGTTGGCAGCTCATGTGGAGGTGCACTGGAGTGTAGGCAGCTCACGTGGAGGTGCATTGGGGTGTTGGCAGCTCGTGTGTAGGTGCATTGGGGTGTTGGCAGCTCATGCGATGGTGCATTGGGGTGTTGGCAGCTCATGCGACGGTGCATTGGGGTGTTGGCAGCTTGTGTGTAGGTGCACTGGGGTGGTGGCAGCTCATGTGGAGGTGCATTGGGGTGTTGGCAGCTCATGTGGGGGTGCACTGGGGTGTTGGCAGCTCATGTGGAGGTGCACTGGAGTGTAGGCAGCTCACGTGGAGGTGCATTGGGGTGTTGGCAGCTCGTGTGTAGGTGCATTGGGGTGTTGGCAGCTCATGCGATGGTGCATTGGGGTGTTGGCAGCTCATGCGACGGTGCATTGGGGTGTTGGCAGCTTGTGTGTAGGTGCACTGGGGTGGTGGCAGCTCATGTGGAGGTGCATTGGGGTGTTGGCAGCTCATGTGGGGGTGCACTGGGGTGTTGGCAGCTCATGTGGAGGTGCACTGGAGTGTAGGCAGCTCACGTGGAGGTGCATTGGGGTGTTGGCAGCTCGTGTGTAGGTGCATTGGGGTGTTGGCAGCTCATGCGATGGTGCATTGGGGTGTTGGCAGCTCATGCGACGGTGCATTGGGGTGTTGGCAGCTTGTGTGTAGGTGCACTGGGGTGGTGGCAGCTCATGTGGAGGTGCACTGGGGTGTTGGCAGCTCATGTGGGGGTGCACTGGGGTGTTGGCAGCTCATGTGGAGGTGCACTGGAGTGTAGGCAGCTCACGTGGAGGTGCATTGGGGTGTTGGCAGCTCGTGTGTAGGTGCATTGGGGTGTTGGCAGCTCATGCGATGGTGCATTGGGGTGTTGGCAGCTCATGCGACGGTGCATTGGGGTGTTGGCAGCTTGTGTGTAGGTGCACTGGGGTGGTGGCAGCTCATGTGGAGGAGCACTGAGGTGTTGGCAGCTTATGTGGAGGTGCACTGGGGTGGTGGCAGCTCGTGTTGAGTTGCACTGGGGTGGTGACAGCTCGTGTTGAGGTACACTGGGGTGTTGGCAGCTTGTGTGTAGGTACATTGGGGTGTTGGCAGCTTGTGTGTAGGTGCACTGGGGTGGTGGCAGCTCATGTGGAGGAGCACTGAGGTGTTGGCAGCTTATGTGGAGGTGCACTGGGGTGGTGGCAGCTCGTGTTGAGTTGCACTGGGGTGGTGACAGCTCGTGTTGAGGTACACTGGGGTGTTGGCAGCTTGTGTGTAGGTACATTGGGGTGTTGGCAGCTTGTGTGTAGGTGCACTGGGGTGTTGGCAGCTCGTGTGTATGTGCACTGGGGTGGTGGCAGCTCATGTGGAGGTGCACTGGGATGGTGGCAGCTCATGTGGAGGTGCACTGGGGTGGTGGCAGCTCATGTGGAGGTGCACTGGGGTGTTGGCAGCTTGTGTGTAGGTGCATTGGGGGGCTGGCAGCTCATGCGAAGGTGCATTGGGGTGTTGGCAGCTCATGCGAAGGTGCATTGGGGTGTTGGCAGCTCATGTGAAGGTGCATTGGGGTGTTGGCAGCTCGTGTGGAGGTGTATTGGGGTGCTATTTTAAATAAATGGCACCATAAAGCACCAATGTGCATAAGGCGTGCTACCACAATTCAGTGGTGTGAATCCAGCCATACTGTTGTAAGTAGTATGGCTGCTTCCTGGTGCCATACATCTCTCACCCAGCAGCATGCTGCTGAGAGGACTGCTGCTATCAGTTGAAGTAACAGTGGTCTCTCTGTAGAGCCCCCCCCCACCCTGAATGACACACAACTAGAGCTCTACATTCAGCAAAGCTTATTCTCTCTGCTGATTGTACCCAGAAGTCATTTATTTCCTCATAATTTCCTCTTAAAACCTTTTGAGGAGGTGAAGGGGATGTCCGATGTTTGGCCTCAGTTGCATATTACTATGAGGGCATTCCGGCATAAGAGAGGAGAGGATACTCTATGCATAGTGAATTGTATTTGGGCATCAACTGAATGTGTGATGACCGAATGCTGTATTGGCACCGGGGCCCTTTGGCTGATTATGTCCACCACTGTCTGCTATACAGTAACATCTTACCATTTTCTGCCCTTTCCATGTTGCTTTCCTACATCCAGGCTTGCCCTTACCTCTATAGTGATGTCCCTTTTATTCTGCAGGTCAATGAGGAAGGCAGTGAAGCAGCGGCCTCGTCAGCTGTCATCATAACAGGCCGCTCGTTCCCACTTAGACGGATCAGTTTTAAAGCCAACAGACCCTTCTTGGTGTTCATTCGAGAAGTCGCAATCAACGCTATTATATTCATGGGCCGAGTAGCCAATCCTGAATCAGACTAATGCTCAGTTCCAGCCATCATTGAATGCACGTGGAAAGTCTGCTCTCGGTCATTATGTTTAAGGCGCACCATTCATGTTTTGGGTTCATGATTTGTAATAAAGCAAACCTGTCATGACAGAAATATCAAAGTTGTAATAACGGATCTGTAAATGTATTTGCCTGGCTGTCATGATGTCACTACATTCTGAGTCGCTGACCCAGAACAAATGTTCAGCCAGTGAAGTCGGGCCTTCTGATCTGAATACTTGTTCGGCATAATGAACTCTGAAACCAAAGGATCAGGTGGATAGCCAGGCAAATAGCATTTTAAGGAGGTCAGCAATAGCATCCCACACATAACTTTCATGACGGGCTTCTCTAAAGAGGAGTGAAAACTTTTCCCCTTTAATTTTTTTGTGTTCTTTTCTTTATTGCTATCAGCTTCTTATGTTGTCACCAGGACAGGAAGTGAGCAATGTTTTTCCACCAGGGATTCAGACAGCAATAAAACCATTTGTGTGGCACAGGCAATGGTTAGAACCTCGCTCATGTTTTTATTAATAATTTGGAGTGGTGGTGACCTGGCCTCAAAGCTTGGTGGAACGTCTGATGAAGTCAGATGATTGTTGTAGTGTGGCAGCTCTCTACTGCCCAGAGGAGCCCCAGTAGAGAGTCAGCTTGTATGGAGAGAAGGGATGAGACTGCCAAGCCATAGCGATTGGTCCGGGTCTGACATTTTCATTTGCCACAATAAAAGGGTCTATCAAGAGTTGGCAGCCAACAGGATTTGGGAGCTGTACACAAATTCAACCCCCCCTCCCCCCTTCATCAGAGCTTGGATGTATTGTGGATCTGAACAGTTGGTTAATCCAGAGTTGTAATCCCTTATAGATTGTAATTTTATATTTGCTTAAAGTAGCCACCGCTCCAAGCTCACTCCTGAGATGGACTACAATACAAATGAGTAAACTAAACATGAGATTGTAGTCCATCACGAGAGTGAGCTTGGAGTGGTGACTACTTTAGAACACACACAGGTACTACGGGGAACAAAAGTGGCCACCAATGGGTCAGCACCAATTCAGAGATGATTTGAGGATCTACAGCCGAGTGATACACAAATAAGATAGATTATTATTAATAGTTAGGATACTTAATTGCATTTGTAAGATTGAATTCCTCAGTCTAGTGTCACTGTAAGCCCTGATGAGGTGGAACTTTGCATGACCCCTGAAACGTGTTGGCTGTCAGCTCTTGCTATAGACCCTTTTATTGTCTTTTATTCATTCATATCTGGATCAATCTCTATGGCTCATTCTTTCGCTCTACGCAAGATGTTTTTATTGCTGACCAACCCAGAAATCTGTAACAACCTGACAAGTGTAACCCTTCCCCCCCCACTTTGAAAAAGAAATGTTTTGGCTGGAGCTCCACTTTATTATTTCTGTATAGAAGCTCCTCTTTATTCTTTGATTTTGAACATTGTATTAAAGATTTCTTTGCCCAGTTCAGTAAATCTCAGCAACTAAGCATTTGCTTTTCATAGTGTACCTTACATTAGAGCAAAGTTTCTCAGATGGTAACAGTTCTCCTAAGGTGCATAAGTAAAGGCACCCTGTTCCGTTATTGCATTGTTTGTGTGAAATCCCCCTGCCAATCATACCGGTCATAATCAATTCTCAGTAGGACACTTTGTACAGCTTAGCAGGGATGAGTGGAATCTGATTGGAACAGAGTTGTATGATCTAGGGGTGTAGTCTGGTACTGGAGAATGACAATATATTCTAAGATGGATCTATGCTACATACAAGCTCATCTAATATGTACCTGGATTTACCAATAAACTGTATTATTACAAGATCACGTGTTACCCGTGGAACTTGTACCCAAAAACCCTTGGTACGTATGTCGTCTGTGCATTATAACGGTCCATGTGGGTCGTTCCTCTAATACCACTTGTTGTACTTTACAATTGTAAGATTACTGGTCTGAAATCTGTACTCGTGTTCCTGCTCTAGAGAGGCAGAGCCAGCTGTCAATCAGCCAGCGGGGTGGATCTCTACAGTATTGTCAGGATCTGTTCCGGCTCCACAATCTCAGGCTTCTTCTGCAGGAATCGTGATCTGTGCAGTGCCTTCTCAGGGCTCATTCACACCACATCCAGATCATCTCCAGACCAGACCAGATTGTTGCCGGACCTAAAATGCATCCTAACGTATCCCTATGCTATTTCTGGCCTCTGCTCACACCAGCGCAGTCCATTCCAGACCAGACCAGAAAAATACAGCATGTCTCATTTGGTCTGGAATGCACTTTTACTGCGGGCAGGTTCACACCATTTTCCGGACCAGAGTTCAAGCCAGATGATGCCTAGTAAAGTTGGGATGGAGAGGAACTTCCTTATGCATCTCTCTATGTCTAAACAATTGACATGAGTGCTCTGCGGCAGGGGTAATGTCATCTACTACACTCCCAAAAACCTGTGATTGGAAACAAAAGTCCCAGTAAAAAAACAAAAAAACAAAGTTCCCCCTACCCAAGTTTGGGACTAATAGTTTAATGGAAACCTACGCTTTGCCAGTGTTTCCCACCATTTGCTTTCACTTACTTTCCTTTTGCTCCGTGCTGCTACTAATGTGGTAGTAAGCGAATCCTAAAGAAAGCTCCATGTCCCTCTGTTTGGAGGTTACACATGGCTGAGGGTTCTTTTCCTGCCCCAATGGGAGAGCATGGTGGCCTGCCATTGATGTTGCATCATGGGGAGTGAATCACAGGCCTCCTACACCCAGAGGTACAGGATATTTCTCTTTGCTCCGGGCAGCCTAGACACAGTGCCAGGGTGAGTGAGTATAGGCTCAGGCAAGGCTGGCTTTCCCACAAGGCCAACCAAAACCCGGCCTCGGGGCAGCAGGGAATAGAGGGGCCAGCAGGAGTGTGGAATTCCCATCTCCCGATGCCTGGGACATGCAGTTCCGGGCAGCGGGCGGGTCATTTTTTCTACATTTAGCTTTGGGCAAGCAGGGCTTTATGTACAGCGGGGAAGCCGCCACTTGTGTTGTGCAAGAGATCTCGGCGATGTCAACCGAGATCACTTGTATGCAGCCTGCAGGTCTGCCATTCTCCATGGGGGGCGCATTGAGGAAAGTGGCCATGGGGCAGCAGAGAGAGTAAATCCGGTCCTGGGCACAGGGGATGCATTTAAGAGAACCTGTTGCGTTGCCTTGCATGGTAAACCACATGTTTTTTTTTTGTTTTGTTTCTATAATACTTTCTCATTCTTCTCCATCAAGACTCTGTACTCGTGTGATATACAATATATATAGTGTAACAATAGTGATGGAAATACAAAACACAACAGAGAAACTTGCACTCACATATTTTTTTTTTTAATTAATCTTCTTGTGCCAATTTCACCCCTTGTGAGACACCTGGATACAAAGCTCCAAAATAAATGATAAGGATATTAAAGATATAGTCTTCTCCTGGTGGATCTCCTAAATGGATACTGAACTCCAAAAAAACAAAACAAAGTAAAACCTCGCTCAGTATCCAAGATGCGTGGAGTTAACTTCTTCCAAACAAGATTACATGAAAGCATACATTTCACAGTTGTATAGGATTTCAGGAGTCCGATAAAAACCGTGTTCATTATAAATAAGTGATAACGTGGAGGAAAGGGTTTCTTAGAAAACATTCTCTTTTACTCAAACACAAAAGCTTCAGTCAGGCAAATAAAATATGATTTAAGTAATCTTATGCGGCGATATATATGACGTCCTGAATAAATTATTTGCATTTCCCAGACTTTTCCTTAGCATGCAATGTCAATATAAAAGAACAATACGGGTATTCGCTACAGCCTGGTGCAGGGTGACCCTCTGTTATCGGGGTGCTGTACATGAGACGGCACAGAATACAGTATGATTCCAAAGGGATGGGGAAAACGGCCCAGGCTCGCACATTAGAGGCTTGAGAATAAGAACCGTGTGGTAGTGTCATATCGGTCGTAGATGAGGGTATCCGATAGTTATTACAGAAGTTCTATTACCTACACCTGAGTACTTTCACTGAAGGGTGCATCAAGATGGTGGTAGATCTGGTAGAAGACGAACCTTCCGCTGTGCATGTACTGCTCGAAAACTGAACTCTGGAACGCTAACAAAAAACACGTGGCTGTCCATATAGAGTTCTAATGTTGAGTTAGTCTAGGGCAGGGGTAGGCAACCTTGGCTCTCCAGCTGTGCTGAAACTACAAATCCCATAAGGCATTGCAAGCCACAGGCATGACTCCCTGCTCTAGGGGTATCCAATAGGGAAGGATGGTTACCTTATTCCTTGGCCTGCTGCAGGCTATAATCTCGGAATATGGGTGGCCCCTTGACGTCATCACGCACAAAGCAGCACAAGCTACATGATGAAGTCTACACAAGGGGGGGGGGGCACACCTCTAGAAAAGAGGAACAGCTTTGCGGGACTGGTTGGCAATACCTGATCCAGCAGGGAGGAGGCCTGAGGGGCCAAGGAATAAGTAATACCCTGTAAACACAGGCCCCTTGTACTAAATGAGCAGCAAGGGGGTGTCATTTTTGGAAGTCTGACCCGTGTTCAGCATTAAAGTAGATCTAAACCTTATCAGTAAAGTTTAAAAAATAAGCTTTAACATGTTAAGTAATTCCAACAGCTTTAGCTTTCATTAAAGTAATACCTGGCGATCCTGGCATGAAGGTCCTTGTCCAGGCACTTCCTGTTGTAGGGTGACAAATGACTCCCAATCGTGCTCCTGTCTTCCCAACATTGCCAGGAGACTATTGGAAGACCGGTATACTAGATGGGTAGCATTCATTAAAGTAATACATGATGATCCTGCCATAAAAGTCCTTCCGGTTGTAGGGTGACATATGATTCCCAATTGCTGCTCCTGTCTTTCCAGCATTTCATGGAAAAAAACTGGAAGACTGGTGGCTTTCATTAAAGTAATACACTCCTATGGAGATATGATGTGGAGCTGAAGTGAGCGCATGTAGACAGGAAGTGGCTGAAGGGGATCAGCAGCACTGAGATGCAA